TCTTGGCTTTGGGGCTTCGTCTGGCTTGGTTCATTCTGCTGTACTTGCTGCTCAGTCCCGGGCTGCTGTGCTTGTCCTTGTTGTTGCTGCTGCTGTCCCTGTGTGGCTGTTGCCTCCTGTTGTTGGGCCTGTGCTTTGGCCTGCTGAAGCCTTTCCTGCTGCTTCTGTAGACGATGTGAATTGGTGCGTTCCTTGTGCACGTCCCATGCGCGAGTACGGAAATTCGAGTTCATAATCACAGGCTTGGGTTTCTTGCCGCCATGCACAGCGTAGTGCACATGACAGATCTTGCACAGCACGAAGCGGCCCTCGTCGTCCACGCTCAGCACGTCTGGGTCCGAGAGGATGCTTGGCGGCCACCAATTGGCCTTGCGCTTGGGCATGGCTGCCTCGGAGCGAAGCTCGCTTTAAGTGCTGTTAGCTTTGTTAGCTTGGGCGTCTCACGCTTGAAGCGTTGCTTGGTCGTCACACCGAGTACAGTGCCTTCAGTACGCTTCGCTCGTGTTCCTCTTGTTACCTATAGTGACAGAGGGAGGCATAGTTCCGTTATGTTCCACCAAAGTTTACATTTGGACAAGGCCCTTGGGTTACTGTGGTTATCCGGCATCCCTCTGACAGCTTAAGACAGATCGAGAGAGGGGAATCGTTCACTCTAGCCATCGCAACTGCCGAGGGGAGAAGGGGGGGTGGGCTTTAGCTACAACGTACGTTTGCTCGCCGAGCTTTCTCAGCTTCCTCAGCTCGTAAGTTGTTTGGATGCGCTTGACTTTGGTCTTTCACTTGGACTTGTTTGTTCCGTTGTGTGCGTCTTTCGTTGTGAATCGAACCTGGTTTTGTACTCATATCTGCGTAAATGAATACTATTCAGAACATAATTTATAAAGGGTTTACAAATATAGAAAGAAAGTTTGACTTGTTATATTATGATTTAGTATTCGCTCTTGTGCGTACTCTCGCCAATAGTCAGGTATCAGCTGATCAAGATACCCACTTCTGCAGTGATTTTGTGAAACCACCGAAACCAGCTGGCGGGACATCGGTCGGTCGGCGTGGACGGTCGGTAAGTATTGTGGTTTGTATACTTTGATCTTCAAGCTTTTGGAAAAGCTTGTCCTGCCAAGCTTCATGCTCGGCGCCCTCCAAGCAGATGGTGTCTCAGCGAGCCAAGAAGGTCATCGATCGATGCTGAGCACTACTGACCACGGGATTGCCCTCCTGATGCGAGGCTGCACATGGACTACTTTAACTAAGCCTTCAGCTAATATACACGTGGCTGCATCCGTGAAGATACCCCAGCACAAGGAGGCCTACGCGCGTGAGACACGAACGCTTCACAACTAATCGGTAACTCATAGATATCTTTAACCCGCGAAACAGCATTTTCCGACTCATCTATCTCCTCGTCTATGTTGTCGATGTCGTTTCCGCTCGTAGCTCCGACTTCGGCTCCGACTAGAGCTCACCGATCGTCGCCTACGACGACTACGGCGGCGATCTCGACTCCTGGATCGATCTCGCTCCCTACGTCTCTCTCGATCCTTGCGACCACGTTCTTCTCTCCGATTCTCAGGAGGTCGTTCTTCTCGTTTTCTTGATCGGGATCTCGTCCGTTTCCTCTTTACTTCCTTTTCCTGTTTGTCCTTTGTCTTCTCCTCTTCCTTCTTCTCCATCAGTTCCTTCAGCTTCCGTCTAATCTGCACATACCCGACGTGCACTTTGCCCCCAAAGTGGTCAGCCAGGCGTCTCTCACTGTCAAATATGCTCAAGAAGGCGCCACAAACATCGCACACGCGCAGCTTCTGGTTAACGTTGTCCACTGCATTCGAGGTCCCCGGATTGCTCTGTCTGAGCAGCTCGCGCCGTTTTTGCTTGAGCATCTCCACCTTCTCCATCATACTCAGCGATCGATCCGCATTTCCTTCTTTCGCCGCCTTCTCGGCTTGTGCCGCAGCATCCTGCATGTCCTGTGTGAGTTGCAGAATTTGCGCCCGGGCTTGTTCGTCGTCTCCATCTTCGGCCAACCGCCGCTGAGCACGCGCGATTTTCTTCTCCACGTCGGCCAGCAGTCTCGACAGTTCATTAGCCAATTCACGCTCGTAACCAAAATCCCGTGTGGACTTCTTTTCCTCGTAGGCCAAGCGCAGCGTTGGGAGATGCAGCGACTTGCAGGTGCCCAAGTCCAGGCGTGTGTTCTGGAATAATTCGCGCGGACACAGACCACATAAATAGGGTTTACAGACTCTAGGATGCCGAAAGTCCATCGTGGCATCGTCGTCCGGCCGGTCGCCGTCGCGATTCAAGCCCATGAGACTGTCGAGCAGCGCGCGCTGAGCGTCCATCGCTGCTGAAGATCTTGACTTTTTGAGGGAAATACTGGCAAATATTACCCTCGGAATAGTGACATAAACAATAACTCTCGATGCTGAAAATAGAATTGTCTCCAACTGTTGCGATTTAACACCGTTTCAATAAGTCATTAGTACACGAGGCATTAATCCCACAATTTGTAACATAAAAACTTAATTTGGATCATATTTGGTGACCAAATACGAAATTCACACCAAGAATGCGTGTTGAAGCTTTGAATGGAGCGAGCTCGCAGCTCCAAGCTACATAGAGTATATTCTGCTTGGAAAGGTCCTGGTTGACACTGTGGGTGGATGTGGACGTCAATTAACGATGACTTGTAAGTATGTGCTATATACGAAATAAAATGTTAAATGCAAATGAACTTTTGTGCAATGCACGAAACAGCCATACTAGTACATGTAGTAGTAGTTTGCCAGCAGTCGAAACCAATTATATATTTTCTTCACTTGTGGTCATTTGAGTAAAGAGTAGGTTGCTGAGTTGGTGGTTATCCGAAAATGCCAGACAACGAAGCGGTGTAGAAAAACCTCCATCCTCAAGTGGAAATACCACGTGGCTGTGGTGAAGTGATTTCGGAGAAATGTGATGCATCCCAGATTAATTGACACACCGTAATCTTGACCGAGTCCGTGGAAAGCACGCGGCCATTGTCACTGTCATAGTAGGCACCGGATGGTGATCTGACACTATTCCAGAAGAGTGACAGGATCGTTCAAGGTTGAAGGGGGGCGAGAGTGGCAAGCAAGGTCCCCACGATCTGGGTCCAGCGGATCTGGATCCTCGGATCTCAAGGCAAGATCGCGATCTCGGTCGGCATTTGGAAAGCAAGGACGATCAATGCTAAGAGGAAACGAAGTGGAAGTCTACGTTACGACAGATAAGTGAAGCAAGTTTAATGAGTGTTCAAGGTGATATACAGAGGTAGAGTCGGTAGCATATGGCAGTCTGGTAGTCGTAATGGTAAGGATTTGGGCTGGGACCACCAGGCTAATACATAAATCAGAGTCGAATTTGCACTGTGGCCCCACGTGTCTAATTTGCATCAGGAAGGACAAGTGACCCGCTGCAGCGAAGGAGAGGAATTATACTAGCCACTCGCAGCGCTAACAAATATAGAGTTAGTTCACCCAGTGTGGGTTATTAATTCCTGGTAATATATGCCAGATCCAAAAACGTAGTGACCTACTCTCAAGTACGGATCCCAGATCAACCGGAGATCATTGCTTGACCCGAGGATTCCTCAAATCTCAACGCCCCCAAGGCCCAGCTATAGAAAGCGGTATGCAAACGTATAGGAAGACCTATTCGGCAACATAACCCAAAATAGGGCAACCCCACGGTCGGATCCAGATCCAGGCCGCTAGATCCAAGCTCGAATAATCGCTTGGGATCTGGACTTCAACGGCAACAGGGCGAAAAGCTTCCGGGCTGCCCCATCCCATTCCCCACGTCTCGCCAACCCAGTAACGCTTCTTTCTGAGGCGTTACCCGAAGAATATGATCCTGCCCATACCGTCGGGTACACAAGGTGAGGAAGTTCAACACAAGATCACGGATCATCGGGGGGCCCCCTCCGCTAGTCAGTAGCTTGGGCCAGGTGGGAAGAGAGAACCAACGATCTCGCGGATTTCGCTACATGTATGGCAAAGATCGCAGTGCCCCTCGATCTACAGCTAACCGAAATCATTAATCTAATCATTCTATTTGTCCTATACATGGAGATCGACAAATACGAAAATGGTGGGTAGTACGGATTGGGACATGTGGCATAACTGCTAAAGGGTATAATTTAAGCTAGAATGGTGAGCTACAAGTCTTTGTCTATATAACGTTTGGGTATCCTCGTGACTTTTGACAACTCCCGATTATACCAGATTCCTTTATAGTATTTAAATGGATGAAGAGACGATGTATGCATCATCTTTAACGAAGCTCAACTAGCTCAGAAAAGCAAACATTTCTGAGCTGCCGTTATTCGACTGGTACTCTGACCGGGTCACATTCCATCCTATTTCCGCGCTTTGTAATAATCAAAAAGAGTCAATGATGAATGGTATTGGTGGCTAAAAGAGTCACTTGTACCTAAAACCTTTTCTTTCGTAGATCTTATTATCAGTATGTTGATTAACACGATGAACTCAGCCAATCTACTCGACAACGCTTCAGTCGAATCACAACATATCGACCCTGACCGAGATGGGTGATGATCTCGAACACCACAAGTTTTGTTCTGGATTTCCTCGCTAAACAACTAGCAAGAACTGAAAGTCCTCGAGTCCAAAGTCAAGCCGGTTGGGCTTAAAATCTACGACAAGGGAAC